CAATTGTAAATTTGAGGAAAAAACGTAAATTCAAAAAATATGCTTACGTTGGTTTTTAAATAAAAATTAAAAAATTTTACTAACAAAATTTTTTTTCAATTAATTTTTTTTAATGATTTTTTTTTTCAACTAATATTAACCGAGGTGACAATTAGTAATGCTACTTTAAATCTTAGGGAGGGGATTATAATTTTTAATATGTGAAGGGTGTCAATGTAATTTACGTAATGAGGGCAAAATTTATATTTAAAAAAATTAAATTGCTGAGGGGAGAATCTGTAATGAAACTTGGCAGATGTAATTTTTAAAAAGTGAGGGGGAACTATAACAAATATAAACCTTAAGAGGTGTCAGTATAATTTACCCAATTTTTAAATAACAAGAAAATTATTTGTACATAAATCAAATGAATCAAATCACAAAGGATTGGAAATCTAATGATGCCTGACAATCTTTTTTTTCTTCTTTTTTTTTTTTGTTTTTTTAAGACAACCAGTTCTAGTTTCAAGAAAAGTCTACTATACACTTCCCAATAATTACAAAAATTGTTTTGTAATTAATTGAAATGATTTAATTACTTTTTTGAATTCATGAGCCATAATTATAATTTTTAATTATTTAAGAGATACTTTAGAATCTTGAGACCCCTATTTGGTCTCATGTTTGGAAGGGAGTCTCATGTTTGGAAGGGGCTGAATTAAGAAGATCCCCTAATTTTGTTCATAAATTTCTATTATTCTCTATTGGTGGAATTGAGTGTTGAATCCTGTCATACTATTGAATTAAAAAATTATACAATGAAACCAAATATATAATAAATTAGTTCCATTAATAATTAACCCAATCCCCCATAAGTTTTAGTTTGAAATTGGTAATTCTTTCTTTCTTTTCTTTTCTTTTCTTTTCTTTCTTTTTATATTAATTTTAAGAAACATTTGAGCTAATTCCAAACAACCCTCAGGCCATGTTTGATTCACAAAACTAGTAGTGAAGTATTAATAATCCTATTAAATTAGTCTGGTATTCACTGTCCAATTGGATTAATATTCATTGGATTAATAATCTTACCCCTACCCCCATTACTAATAATCCTACAAATTTGTTGGATTAATTATCCATTGGATTAATAATCCTAAAATAAAATGTTAAAACAAACATAAGATAATTGGGTCCACGGATTAATAATTCTAATCCCATGCTCTAATCCACCCAATTAAACATGCCCAAAGTTCTCTTGAACAGTACTATTTCCATGATTCCAACGTGTTGTCTCTCTCTCACTCTCTGTGGATACAAAAACATGTGTGTATATATAATATACAAAAAAATATATATAAAAGTTGAGTAGTGAGGAGGGTTGTGTTGAAAGAAATTAAGTAAATTCTTCTGCAAAGGCCATGGGAGTGGTAACTGAGGTTCATCATCAGACTCCATTCTTGTTGCAATCAAGCCTTGCTTTGTCTCCTCATGATCAACCCATCCACAGAACTGGTTTGTCTACTACTACACTCTTTATTTTTCTGTTAATTTCTCTTTCTCTTTTTCCTTCTCTATTCGATTCAAAATAAATGTTAACTTCGCATAACCGAAAAAGAAAGGAAAGAAAGATAGAAAATGTTATTGGCTCTAAATTTTTTATCAAATAAATAACTAAATATCTTACATGATGGGGATTGCGGACTCCATATTTATATCAAATATTTGTTCATTTATTTGATAGAAAGTTTAGTATAACTAACATTATTCAAAAAGATGGTTTGGGAAAAAATTAATCTCCACGTCAGCAAATATTTTCATAGATATGAAGAAAGGCATCTATTAGATAAAATAATAGAGCAATGATGAATGAGATTAGACTGCTCATGACACTAGAAATTTTAATGTAAGTCCACGGTCATATATATATATATGGGTAAATTATATTAATATTTCTTGAGATTTATGTTTATTACAGTTTTTTTTACTTTTTGAAAATTATATCTCCCCATTTGAGGTTTAAAGTTTTATTACAGATTTTCCTCTCAGTCCTTTTAATTTTTTTAAATACCAATTTTACCCTTATTGGGTAAATTACATTGACACTCCTCACATTTTAAAAATTACAATCCCCTCCCTAAGGTTTAAAGTAGTATTACCAATTGCCCCCTTGGTTAGTATTAGTTGAAAAAAAAAATCATTGAAAAAAAAATTAATTGGAAAAAAATTAATTGAAAAAATATTTAATTGAAAAAAAAAAATTTGTTAGCAATTTTTTTAAATTTTTGTTTAAAAACCAACGTAAACTCATTTTTTGAATTTATATTTTTTTCTCAAATTTACAAACTGAGACAACCATTTAATAACCAAAAAAATTATCAAACAAGTTTTTATAACAGTTTTTAAAATTTTTGTAAGTATAAATTGAAAACTAAAAACGAAATGGTTACCAAACAAGTCTCAGATGGTAAAAATATCGTAAAATAAATAAATAATTAAATAAGTTACCAACGTAAGAAATGACTTATCAAAATATTCTTGGGCCATTTCTTAAACGAAATGAAATTATTTTTTAAACGAAATGAAAATTATTTTTTTATTTTTTATTTCTTAACCAAATTAATTTTTAATTTAAAAATCAAACCATACATAGCCTAAGAATCTTTTGATAAATCATTTCTTATGTTGGTAACTTATTTGATTATTTGTTAATTTTACGACATTTTTACCATTTGAGACCTGTTTGGTAACCATTTCATTTTTAGTTTTCAATTTATATTTACAAAAATTTAAAAAACTGTCATAAAAACTTGTTTGATAATTTTTTTGGTTTATAAATGGTTGTCTCAGTTTGTAAATTTGAGAAAAAAATTTTCATACTATTTTTTTTTTTTTGTTCTTAAAATTATGTAATTTTTAGTACCCTACTATTCCCGTTACCGCCAACATAAGACTTTTAAAATATAAGATAATTTTTCAATATCATAACATATCATTTTATGAAAAATAATTGAGTGTCACGTGTGATAATACTCAAAAGATGATCCATACCATCTATTGGTGGAGTCCACACCAATTGATGTGGGGTCTACTCCAATAAATAGTGTGGCTCATATTTGAGTCATTACCACATGTGGTGATGAATAACTACTCCTATTTCATTGTTGGTTTGATATATAATTTCAATAATGTTTGAAATATTAATCAATATGGGTATCGTAAATAGATCACAATAAGTAATAATAATCAAACATTACTTGATACATAGTCAAAGACCTCTATGGTCATAATCAAACTTAATTATAATTAACACCATAATATATCATAACGAGTCATAATAAAAAATTACAAATATTACACCATTTTATTAAGATGTACTTCTTCCGTCTCATTGTTGGTCCACTATTTCATTTTGGGATGTCCCAAAATGATAACCCCATTTGAAAAGTCAAAGTAAAAAATATTTAATTTTTTAAAACTACCCTTTTTGAGTAATTATAAATATATTAAATTTTTGAAAAGATAGGGACATTAGTGAAAAAATACTTTGAAATTTAAATTTAAGTGTAATGATTGCATGTCCATTAAAAAGTTAAAATCTTCACAAAAAAAAGACTAATAAATTGGGATGGATGGGGTAATAAAATTTTCCTAATCTATATACCAATGTACATTGGTAATGTAGTTAATATTGTTAATTAGTCAAAGAAGCAGTAATCAATGTCAATAATTAGATGCACACCCTTAGATGGAACTTTTGACGGTAATATATTTATTTATTTTTTGAATTGCAGAAAGAATAATGCTATATACATTAATTAATATATTAACTAATGTATCAATTGATGATGTGACATAATTTAAGAGTTTTTAGTATTTATAATTTGTCTAATGAGTGGGGTCAATAATAATGTTATAATTAATGTTGATACATTAATTAATACATTAGTAATTAGCATATATAACACTACCGTTGTAGAAATGTATTTGATCATCGCAAATAATAAATGGAAATGGTGAAACAGGAAATGTATGGACTGCAGTGGCCCACATAATAACAGGAGTGATAGGGTCAGGGATTCTATCATTGGCATGGTGTATGGCTCAGCTAGGTTGGATTGGAGGCTCATTCTCTATGCTCTTCTTTGCTTTCATCACTCTCATCTCTGCCTTTCTTCTCTCCAACTGCTACAGATCTCCTTACCCTGAGCTTGGCCCCACTAGAAACCACTCCTACTTGGAAGCTGTCCACTTCAATTTAGGTAACATTGTCATTACAGTTCTTCCATCTGCACAAAAATTAATAATAGAATCGAACACAAATTTTTTGTATAAATATGAGATTCACCTCATGTGAGACGATTATGTCTAATTCTATAATTGATTTTTTTGTTTCTAGAATTTTTCTTATGGTGTTTTTAACATGGCATTTTCAGGAGAGAGAAGTTCTTGGGCATGTGGACTTTGTGTAAATATTAACTTATATGGGATTGGCATTGCCTACACCATTACTTCTGCTATCAGCATGAGGTGCTCTATATATATTTATGTTCTTTCAAAATTTTTATTTTTTATTTATTGAAAAGTAACATGAGTTATGTAATATATGTTACCCCACAATATTTGATTAGCTCAACAAGAATTAATTTGGAGCATTTACTATGATTTGAAACAGTGAACACATGTATACCTTCTTATTATGGTGATGTTTAATCTTTTTGTTTTCCCAAATTTTAAATTGATGCAGAGCAATACAGAAATCAAATTGTTACCACAGTATGGGCATGAGGTTAATTGTGAATATGGAGATACTTATTATATGCTAATATTTGGATTATCACAAATTGTGGTTTCTCAAATACCCAATTTTCATAATATGGAATGACTCTCTGTTGTTGCTGCAACCATGTCCTTCATCTATTCCTTCATTGCATTGGCACTTGGTTTGGTGAAAGTAACAGGTATGGTTCCCAATTTGCTCTGATTTTTCATGTTGCAAGTATTCGAAATTCACTCCGCATAATTAACTGAGCCAGTTCAATTAGTCATTCTTGTACACTCTTAACTGAGATGTCAGTAGGTCAATTCTTGTCAAAGGCAAAGATTGATTATCTCTTTCGTATTGTTTTTTTTTAGTCGTTTACTTGTTTTCTCCATTATGGTGTTTCTTCTTGTATTGATGTAGTTGTTGTTGGAATTGGGCTTGCAGGTGGGTATGTGTTGTTAGACTTTCTTATATAGTTGATTGTTCAGTTTGATATAATTTTCTTTAACATTTTTGTAAATAATCTTCTACCATTTGAAATTATGTGCTTAGGAGAGCTTTTGTGTTAGGTGTAATTATCATGTCTTCCTGAAACATCACATTGGTCGTGTGTTTGCCAAATAAAAAAAATTATGTGCTTACATGCCTCGAAAAAATATGAATAAGTAAACCAATCAAAAGTTTGGGTGCATATATGTTGATTTAATCATGAATTTCTTCAACATTCAATTGCAGGATGGAGTAATCAAAGGTAACATTGCAGGAGTCTCAACTTCTACTACACTTGAGAAAGTATGGTTGGTTTCTGAAGCACTTGGGGACATTGCTTTTGCCTATCCATACTCCATCATTCTCATTGAAATACAGGTAAGCCACTTTCAATTTTTAATTTCCGATCAGTTGCACTAGGAATATAGAAAAATTTCAAAGAATGAAACACCGATGTTCTGTGAAATTTCTTTGTGTACTTGGACTTTCTCATTCTCGATCAATTACCAAGCCCAACTTCACATAACCAATGAAGAATCTCAAGTTAATGTGATTGAAAATTGCAAAAACACACCAATGGATACTTTGAAGTCACCTCCACCGGAAAATGAGATAATGAAGAAGGCCTCAACCATAGCAGTATGCATGTTAGAATTTACCAATTTACTCCTCCACCTACCATCTCCACTAGCACCCACTTCACCTACCACCTCCACTACACTACACCTACTACCACCTTCTCTTCTATATATAGGAGTTGTAATACATAACACAATATCAATCAATCTTGTAACAAGTTGGAGGATATCAGGTACTACCTGTTAGACATATCACTTGATCTTTTTCTTTTCTTTTTTCGTTAGGATAGTTATGAAGGCAGGGGATCCTCTGTCAAATTTTCTTTTCCCTTGTCCCGATGCCCCTCTAATCCATTGTGTGATAGAGATGGGGGGCCTTGGGATAGAGGATAAGGAAGAATCTGGATAGATAATCTAGCCTCTACATTATAGATGTCTTTCAATAACACCCACTTGATGTGTTCGGTTAGACTTTGGAGCGATTAGGTTATGTGATTGGACTCCATATTATGGTCATTTTCGAATTTCATGTTTGGATACAAAAATAAACGTTTAGATTGATAGTCCCTCTGGACTGTATATCCCTCATAAAAGGGACTATTGAGTCCATGCTTAGTGGTTAAGGGGATGGGATACAAAACAAGAGGATTAAGGAAGATCTAGATTAGGGGGTTAAAAGGTTAAAATATCCTCGAACTATGGTCATTGTACTATGTAGTCCATGTTTAGTGGTTCAAAACAAACATAAGATAGGATAGGGTTCTTCCAATCTCCCTTCTAATCTAGGGACATTCCAAATATGGGACAAGGTTAAAATATCCTCAAACTATTTTCATTGTACTATGCAGTCCATGTTTAGTGGTTCAAAACACACATAAGATAGGATAGGATTCTTCTAATCCCCCTCCTAATCTAGGGCATTCCAAATGTGGGATAAGATTCATTGATAAGCCCAAAACTATTGATCCCAAGACTAATAATTTCATATAATCTAATCCAAAAACCCTACTTCAATTTGCTTAGTTGCTTTCAATTACCCCTCATGCTGTCAAAAAATCCCATATAAGTGGTAAATTTGCTTTAGTTCAATATAAATTGTATGTATGATCAATACTATTTATCTAATTATTTTTTCTTCTTTTTTTTTTAGCAAATAAAATCGTAATTCCTTTCCATATTTGTATTTTGGCAGGTATTCAGTCAGCCACTTTTTGCACTGGTAGACAAATGGTTTGCAAGGAAGTTCCCAAACAGTGGATTTGTGAACTATGACTACACTTTGAAACTTCCCTTTTTCCTAATTCTCAGACTAAATCTTCTCAGACTCTGTTTTCGCACAACTTATGTGGCGTCAACAACTGTGATTGCGATGATCTTTCCATACTTCAACCAAGTTTTGGGAGTT